AGCTCACTTTGTAGCCCAGGCTGGTCTCGAACTCTCAATGATCCTTCTGCCTCAGCCTCCCGAGTGCTGGGATTACAGGCATGCCCCACCACGTCCTACTACACTTGGGATTATTGAGGGAAAAGGTGTGCACATTTTCTTTCCTTGGTTTTTGTTTGGTTGGTTTTTGTCTTTTTGAGACAGGGTTTCACTATGCAGTTCAGGCTGGCCTTGAATTCACTATGTAGCCTAGGCTGGCCTCAAACTCATGGCGATCCTCCTGGCTCAGCCTCTGGACTGCTGGGATTACAGGTGTGCGTCACCATGCCCGGCCCTACATGTGCATGATGGTTTGGAATGTACAATGCAGATACGGAAGTCCAGGTTTGGTTCTTTCTTCGCAGGCCATGGAACCCAGGGAGGGCCTCCTGCACACAGAGCCAGAGCTCTGCACCTGGGCTCTGTCCCCCCAGCCTGGGAAATGCGGGCTGACAGCAGTCTGATGGATTACACACCCACCATCCTTACTGCCAGCCACTCTCCTGGATAACCAGACAAGCCAAGCAGAGCAGGCCCGAGAGTGGACAAGCCCATCCTGTAGATCGGGAAAGCACCACCCCGACGAGCAGTGCCCGAGCTGAGGCTGCAGCCCGCGGCTTCCCTCAACCCCGGCCCCCCGAGGCCCGGCAGGGGGCGCTGTGTTACCGCTTTCTCGGTGTCGGCCTCCGCCAGCCGTTTCAGTAGCGCGCCTTGTTGCTCCATGAGTCTCTCAGCGTCCTAGAGGAAGAGGGCAGTCACCTCGGTAAACAGCAAGCCCGGGGCCTGCAGCCTGTGCATTCTCCTTCCCTGAGAACTACATTACTAAGCCTAACACAACGAATGCAGCCATTCTCACTGTACAACTGCGAATGGCAGAACGGCAATAAAGCAAACACCGGAACCTTACCCTGGGGCTAATAGCTGGGAAAGGGTCCTTCCCCTCCTTGGCTTACCTTCAGCCCAGCCTGTGTGCTGCATCTCTGTGCTGGAACTTGATATTTTGTCTTTTTTTTGTACCAGGAATCGAACTCAGAACCTTCTGCTTGCCAGGTAGGTGCTTGCTTGTACCGTTAAGCTGTATCTTTGGCCTTTTTTATCTTTTTTCTTTTTTTTTCCGGGTACCAGGAATCAATCTCAGGACCTCGCACTTGCCAGGCAGGCACTGTGCCACTGAGCTGAACCTCCAGCCCTTTTTTATCTTTTTGAGACAGGGTCTCCCTGTGCAGTTCAGGCTGGCCTTGAACTCACAGTGATTCTCCTGCCTCAGCCTCCCGAGTGCTGGAATTATAGGTATGCACCACCACACCCAGCCCGGAACTTGATTTTTAAAAAATTTTTACTTGCAACTGATTTTTTGTTTTTTGAGACAGAGTCTTGCTGTGTTCCTGGCTGGCCTTGAACTCATGGCAATCCCCCTACTTCAGCCTCCCAAATCCTGGGATTCCAGGTGTGCACTGCCACACCCAAGCTTGGTACTTGCAACTGACTTTGTATGTGTGTGTGTGTGTGGGGGGGGGTCTTTCTGAGACAGGGTCTCGCTATGCAGTTCAGGCTGACTTTGAACTCATTTCATAGCCCAGGCTGGCCTCCAACTCACAGCAATCCTCCTGCCTCAGCTTCCAAACAGCTGGGATCACAAGCATGCACCACCAGGCCTGGCTGCAACTGTTTTTTAAACCGTTTTGCTGAGGCATAAATTTGGGTGCCATACAGTTCACTGGGGGGTTCCTCTTCCAGGGCACTGCCAGTGACCTAACTTCCTTCGGCCAGATGCCACCGCTTACAAGTTCACTTCCTCCCGACAGCACTGCAGCCTGGGCCCAAGCCCTCAACGTCCGCACATGGCCCTCAGGGGACCTTCAACTTTCAAACTGCAAGGCTGGACTATGATTCTGGCTCTGCCACTTACTGTACCTGTGATCATCAACAAGATAATGAACATGTGATAACAAGATACGCAAAATGATTGCTAGGTATGGTGCCACAAATCATAGCACTTGGGAGGCTGAGGCAGGAAGATCTCCACAAGTTTGAGGCCAGCTTGGGTTACATAGTGAGTTCAAGGCCAGCCTGAATTATATAGCAAGATCCTGTCTCAAAAACAAAACAAAACAAAAACCAAAAACAATACAAGATGGGTAGAAGAGTACCTCCTGCAGTAAGAAAATTAACTGCAGCAGATGTTAAACCCTTAAGCCAAGAAGGATCACCACCATTTCAGGAATCCATACTACCTTGTAACAGTAGTATGAAAAAAAAACCCAGTAATAAGGTTTTAAGATAACAGCAGAAGGTATTTTAAAGCCTTGAAATTCTCCTCTTTCATTAGGAAGCTATTGCTCCAAACGTAGTGCCAACTTGGTTCTTCCCCAAACTACTTTTTCATTCTTTTAATTTGGCTTTTTGAAACAGGGTCTTGCTATGTAGTTCGGGTTGATTTTGAACTATGTAACCCAGGCTGACCTCCAACCTGTGCGGACTTCCTACCTCAGCCTCCTGAGTGGTGGGATTTCAGGCGTATGCCACATGGCAGCCGGACATTGCAATTTTAACTTCTCTCCACAATCTGGGCACTGAGGCTATGCCCAGGTTTTGTTTTGTTTTTTTTTATCTTTTTGGGACAGGGTCTCGCTATGCAGTTCAGGCTGGCCTTGAGCTCACTTTGCAGCCCAGGCTGGTCTCAAACTCTCAATGACCCCCCTGCCTCAGCCTCCCGAGTGCTGGGATTACAGGTGTGCGCCACCACGCCCTGCTATGCCCAGGCTTCGTAACTACAAAGTGCGAGGCAGTGGACAGCGCTAGGCAGGAACCAAGTGTCTCCCTAGGTTGATACGAAAAGGAGGGGCGGCAGGACTGGGAGGTCTGTGGTCTGCGGCTGCAGTGCTCCTCCAGAGCCTGGCTGAGTCACACCGCACAGGCAGGACATTCGGGCACTGGCCTCTCATGTTCACGGGGCCTGGGGTGCAGCCGAGGTTGTGGGCAACACAGCGCCAGCAGCTGGCCTCTCCCGAATCGCTGCCCGGCCGGCAGCCTCTCACCTGTCGGCCGGCCGCCTGGATTCTCTCTGCCGGCTCCCTCCTCTGTCCCTTCCCACCAGGCTGCTCCTCTGTGACTGTCCCTGCTCTTCCTCCCTTGCACTTAGACAGAAAGTCCCCTGAAAGGAGGCTGAACCTCTTTGTCACTCTCAGTCCCACAGGTCCCATTCACACATCAAGAAAAAATGGCTCCCTGGCTCCCAGTTCCCGGGGACCAAGGAACAGGCTAAGCGACAAAGAGCATGGCCGAAAGCCTTAGCCGGCCGGGCACGGCGGCAAGCACGGGCAGCTGGGGTGAGAGGAGCCACGGCCGCTCCATTCCTCGCACAACCTCGTGTGGGAGACACCTGGCCCATTTTATAGGGGGAAAATGAGGCCCAGAGAGGTAAGAACTGCCTCCTTGAGGGTGCTGAGCCAGAGATAAAACACTCAGGGAAGAATCTGGCTGTAACTAGCAACACTACTAGAAACATATTCTAAAAACTCGCGGGCACAGCAGGAGTGCACACGAGTGTTGCCCGTGACAGCGAACAACTGAAAATGCGTCAGAAAAAGGATAAACACACTGTGCTACACTCGTAAAATGGAACCGAGCGTGAAAATTCTTAAAAGTAATCTAGGGCTGGCCAGGTGTGGGGGCGCACGCCTGTCATCCCAGCACTCGGGAGGCTGAGGCAGGAGGATTGCTGCAAGTTCAAGGCCGGCCTGGGCTACAAAGTGTTCAAGCCATCCTGAACTGCATAGCAAGACTGTCTCAAAAAAAGACAAAATAAAACAAAATAATCTGGGGCCTTAAGGATAAAAATGATAGTCTCAGCCAGGCACATGCCTATAGTCCAACACTATGGGAGGCTGAGGCAAGAGGATGACAAACTTGAGCCCAGCCTGGTCAACTTAGCAACTTAAGTGAGACCCTGTCTCAAGATAAAAAATTAAAAGGGCTGAGGATATAGACCAGTGGCAGAGCGCCCCTGGGTTTGATCCCTAACACCGTTGTAGTAAATAAATAAATAAATAAATAGAAAGTGAAACAATTAAAAGAAACATCTGCTACCCTGGGGTATGTTTCTGAGAGCTGGGCCCACAGCTTGGCGGTGGCAGATCTCCTGGCGACCACGCACAGCGCCCAAGCTACCCCGGGGCTGATGGCTGGCACCTGCACGGACGGAGCGCTACACAGCCCGGCGGGGGGCCCCAGGGAACGCAGGGCGCACTCACCTCCCTGCAGTGCTGTTCCCGCAGCAGGTCTCGGAGGGTGCGGTTGGTCTCCTCGAACGTGCTCAGCTTCTGCAGGAGAAGTTCCTTCTGCCTCGTCAGCGTGTTGATGTCCGTGCAGGTCATTTGTTTCTCCTGGAAGACACGCAGGGCTCCGCTCAGCCGGTGTGGGAGAAGGGACGGTGCAGGCACCACGGGGACCCAGGGAAGTCCTGGGAGGAGGAGCTGGACGGGGGTCAAGGGCTTCCCAGAGGCGGCAGCCCTGGGAGGTGGGCAGGAGCCCAGCCCGCAGAGTGCAAGAGGTGGAGGAAGGGGATGCGACCCCAGCCCTCAGGAGGCTGAGGCAGGAGGATCAGGATGAGTTGGGCTACAAAGCGAGACCCTGTCTTAAATAACAAAACAAAGCAAAACAAGAAAAGAGTAGAGAAGGGTAGGAGAGCTTGGGGAAGGAGTCTGGGACAGGAAGGCCTCAAGGAGGAAGACAGCGACACCTGGTGGCTGACACCGGCAGGACTCGACCACATGTCTGGACTCACTGCGATGCCAGGCAACCCATGATGAGGTCTCCTCAGAGGCCCCGGCCACCAGAGCTCATCTTCCAGGGTCAGGGCCCAGGAAGTGAGTGGGGGCCCGGGGAAGGGGCTGAGCACCCTCCCGCCCACCCGGGATGTCACAGTCGGCCCGATGACTGCACAAAGGCCCCGCCCTGCGGCAGCTCCCAGACCCGCTGGGTCCCGCCCCCCACCTACCGTCTTAAGCTTCCCGATGGTGTCCTTCAGGGCCATGACCTGCTTGGCGGCGGCGGCGCCATCCATCTCCGCCTCCACCAGCTTGGACATGAGGCACTCCTTCTCCTGCTGGAGGTGTTTCTTCTGGAGCCTGGGCACACAGGCGGGGCCCCGTGAGCCCTGGCAGGCCCCGCGGAGCTCCGCTCGCCTCACAATGCCGGCTCAGGCCCCCAGGCAGGGGCGGCGGGGGAGGGGCGGCTCTGCGCGGGCCCCTTCCCCCAGACAGCAGCAGCCCTGCGACACCAGCTGTGCCACCAGGCCCTGCTCATCTCCCGCGGCCACCACCATGGCCACTGCCGTGGCTCCCAGCTACGGGGACAAAACCAGGCCAGGCAAGTGTTCTGCCGCTGAGCTGCACTGCCAGGCCCTGGAACCCCCTCTCCACGCGGGAGCCACGCCTGACCATGCCACACCCTGCTCTGAAAGCCCTCTGCAGTGCAGACAAACACGGCTTTGTGCCACCTAGCGGTGCCCTGCCCTTGTCTGTGGCTCTGGCCTGCCACCGTGTCTCACGGGCGACGCCGGCTCAGCCTGTGGCCCTCCACCACCCCGCTTTCTTCCTTGCCTCCCCTGTGCCTAACCTGCCCCCCGCAGGGCTCCCGCTTGATGGCACTTTTTTGAGGCGGTCCTGCTCTACCCTGGGCCCTTCCTCTCGCTCCGTGTGCAGCTGAGTGCAGCCGGGCCGGGGCCATCACCAGGCTGAGGGGCTCCCGGGACACTCTGGGGCAGGGGCACGGCCGGGAGGAGGCGCCCTGCAGGCGGGCGGAGCGGGCCTTACACGGTGTAGTCCTTCTCCTCCTTCATGCGCTCGATGTTGTGCCTGAGCACCGTGTTCTCGTGCTCTGTCTCGGCCAGCTCGTGTGCCACCTCCTCCAGCTCCTCCTTCCGCTCCTCCAGGAACTTCTTAGCCATCTGTCGTTCGCCCTTCTGCATCCTGACCTGGCAGGGGCATGCGGGTGGGCAGGGCCACTGTTGGGTGCTGGCCTCAACACCGCACTGCTAGGCCCCATGCTCGAGATGGAACGAGGCACCTCCCGGGAAGGCAGCCGGAGCCGCCTGTGCTAGGCCCTAGGGACTTTGTGGACATAGTGTCAGTGACAGGGGACAAACACAGACTCCCTGAGGACGTCCTCTCCCCTCCACACTGTGAGATGAAGATACTGCGCGCAGAGCCTGGCTGGGGACACAGCTGGCTTGCACCGTGGGCTGCCCGGGCTGTGGGTTGGGGAGGGCCTGTGGCCAGGCGGGCAGCCCCAGGTTCTGCAGGAGGACCCAGGGCAAGAGGACAGGGTGAAGGATTAAAGCCACAGGGCTCTGGGGCTGGGGATTTAGCTCAGCGGCACAGCGCCTGCCTGGCAAGGGCGAGGTTGTGACTTTGATTCCCGGTACCGCAAAAAACAAACAAACAAACAAACAAACAAGCAAATAAACAAACAAAAAAAGCCACAGGGCCCTTTAGCCCACAGAAGCTGTATTTTAATGCCAGTCCCAGCAAGTTCCACTCAGGGACTCTGGACTTTCAGGCCAGGTCCCTGCCCAGGGACAGCTTGCACATGAAGACAAACTCATTTCTTTAGGGCTTTGCTTTGGTGCAGCGTGTGTATAAAACCCCAAGCCAGGCCCCAGTCTGCCAGTCACTTCACCTGTACAATGGGGACGCTAATCCCACCAGCATTATTTCCTCTTGTCAAAGTCAAGCTGGGCCGCCCTTTCAGGACCTTCTCAGTGTGGGGGACCCAGGCCACCCCGGCTCCCTCCCTGCAGCTAAGGGGACCAGCTGAGGGACCTGGCTGCCAGGAACCCGCCCAGGCTGTCCCGGGCCTTGGGGCACCGGCCACCTGGCTCCCGGCTTCCTCACCTCAGACTTGAGACAACCGACCGCGTTCATTAGACTGTCAATCTTCTTATCATAGTGGTTCATTTTACAGTGACCTGAGTCGTCGTCTTCTGTCGAGAGATCACTTAAGCGCATGACAGAGAGCAGCTTTTCTGAAGATGGAGGCGTGATTTCTAGGCAGTGAGGTGGATTCTGGGGTAGAGGAGGGAGAGACGTGTGAGCGCGCCAGCCGGGAGCGCAGCCCACGCCGCTGCAGGACCGTGGTGGTGGCTGAAGAGCTGACCCAGCGCCATAGCCACGGCCCAGGGAGGACACTGCTCCACACCCCGCCGGCAAGCAGCGCCCCCTACCTACCCGTGTCCACAGGACGCCTCTGAAGAACTCCTGGCATCGACTGAAAAGCTTGGACTAGAATGGCTAAAGCACGGAGGGCGGCTGCGCTAACGCATGCCCACAGCCCCAGCTACTCGGAGGCGCAGAGGAGGGTCCCTGGAGCCCAGGAGTCCACGCCAGCCTGGGCCACTTAGTGACTTAGCCAGACTCTGTCTCAGAACATAAAAGGGCTGGGGATGTGGCTCAGAGTGAAGGTCCTGGGCTCAATCCCCGGTACTAGAGCAACAACAGAAGCCAGCCTGAGAGGAAATGCTACAGTACATGGCCCAGGCCAGCGGGTACTTTCGGGGGTAATGAGGCAGTGACATGAACAGGGCCATAGGAAGGTGCCAGGAGGAGGGCGGGTTCCTGGGAGTCGGGACAAGGTGATAGGAACAATTCGGCTTGTGAGGTTCCCTCCAGCAATGCGCTCTCGGTGAATGAAATCATCCCATCCTGACAGCCACCAGTCATGAATTACAGGTGATTGTTACAGGCGAATTACATCGGGGATTGCTTACTTTTCTGCATCTTAAAATTTCCATAATGAAAACAGGTCACTTTTAATCATTGACAAAAGAAAACGTTTAATAATTGATTTTTTTTTTTTTTTTTTGGTCTTTTTGAGACCGGGCCTCTCTATGTGGGTCAGGCTGGTCTTGAGCTCACTTTGTAGCCAAGGCTGGTCTTGAACTTGCAACGATCCTCCTGCCTCAGCCTCCTGAGTGATGGGATTACAGGTGTGTGCCACTACACCTGGCTAATAATTCATATTTAATAAATGACAAAAGAAGAAAATCTACATGTTTGTTTCAAAGATAATTTGCCTGCCTGGCAGCCCAAGGGCCTGAGCTCAACTCCTAGTACCAAGAA